AAAGTTCACAAAAAAATTTTTAACATGAGAATGTATTTGTGAGGGCACCACAGTATCATATTGTATATAATGTATATATATTCTTGATCAGGAACACCTCCTAAGTTGGTATAAGCGAATCCGTCTGTCTCTGTCTGTTTCTACGCGAACTTGTTCCTCAGTTTTAAAGCTATCGACTTGAAACATACCAAGCACCACGACCTTACTGCGGGAATATGGGGAATAAACTTTTCAACTTATATTTGAAAACCTCGATTTTTCCAAAGAATGACATTTACATTCAGTGACTGAAATATAATGCTCCAAAATTCCTTTTTATTAATAATCACGATTTTACAGTTTTTAGACAAACAGTCGCGAACAATCCAGAATGAGAGGGGACGCACAGTGGCCGATTTGGGTAATTTTGCGTAAGGTATAAGAATGAAAGGTATAAGAATAACATTATTAATTTTAAAAAGTTTGAAGTTTGAAATAAAATTGACTAATATTAATTAATATTATTAATTAATTTTCCTAGTCTGAATGAAAATTTTTTTCTGAGCCAGAATCCGATTTTCTTCCTGAGCATTGTAGTCTATACATATTTAAGAAGATTTTGGCCTTCAATGTCAAAGAAAACTTCCGTAATGCCGTAACTGTGTACACCGCTGGTAGTGCGACTATACTCTCCACGTGAGGGCGGCTGGAAACAGGTCCCGGTAAGGTCATGTGTCTGCCGTAGATGCTGGCAAATTGTAGTCGGGCGCGGAGAAGAACGCTCCCTTTATTAAATAACCCCAATCCAAGGTGGAACAGCATATGCCGAAGGATGCGGTCCGAGGGGGGGCCCGGACACTAATTTGCGAACTTTGGGGGACCGGCCGACCACCCAGTTTTAACCAGGCTTATCGTGACAAGCGGGCTATGTCATAATGAACGAGCACCTTCCCGCCTACTTGTGGCCAAAAAATGAACATCTTACCAAAAAAAACCAAAGTGGAGAACGGAACTCTCTAATAAAGTCCGGAAATCAGAACCGTTTCAACTTCCGAATAGGTCGGGTCGTTTTTGTCCTCTATTCCGTGAAGAAGTTAAGGCAGCTACTACAAGTGTTTTCAAATTATGAGATTTATATAAACAGAGTTTATACAAACTCCAAGAATACGCCAGCCAGATTTGCCAAATAGTAAAACACTTTAATTGTTCGTTTTTATTTTATTTTTAAAACCACACGCTCTCGTTGTCTTTAAGCAATTAAGTAAATGGTACGCATGAGCAAACAAAAGGAAGGTAAAGAAAAACGATCTTAGGCAGAGAGAGAGAGAGAACAAACAGAGAGAACTTTGGCTCTCTCTGAGATCTTCATTGTTCGTCCCTTTCCCCAAACACACACACACAATGTGTATGTGCATAAGTGTATAAGCCCTTCAGTACCATACCTCAAGGATTACTGAAGGAACCCTTCAGTACCATACCTCAAGGATTACTGAAGGAATCGTCTAGGTACTAGTATTGCCACCCGAGGAATCCTCTAGGTATGTTTCATACAAACCATCAAGGAATTTCCATAGAAGAGTTCCTCACATCGAGGAATTCGAACAACTCGAGGAATACTGCACGATTCCTGAAGTTATTCGAAGAGCATTTCGAACTAAATACCCCAGGGAATCCCTTAGGTATACTCTGAGGAATCGTTGAGGAAATACCCCAGGGAATCCCTGAGGTATACTCTGAGGAATCGTTGAGGAAATACCCCAAGGAATCCCTGAGGTATACTCTGAGGAAACGTTGAGGAAATACCCCAAGGAATCATACGGGATTCATAAGGGATTCACTGAGGAACTGTAGGGATTTTCACCAATCCCCCCCCACCCCTTTCCATCCAATTTTTTCAACCAAAATTATTATTTTATTTGAAATTTTATTAATATAAGAAATTATGAATTGTTATAATCTATATTGTTATTGTTATAATATATTGTTATTATCTATTATTATTTATTATTTATTCTAAAGATTTATACTACTTATTTTATTCATTTACTTATTTTAATTTTTTTTTTATTATTATTATTTTTGATGGCCGTCAAAGCGTGCCCCAACAATATATCAATATTGTAATTGACGATCAGGTCCTCCACGAAAATATATTTTAATGACTTTGTAAGGGCTCCGCGCTTCAATAAGTTCGTCACTGCGGTAGTCTGCAAAAATTAATAGGTATTAAAATTTTTTTATATTTAATTTATAAATATTATACTTACACATTCTTCCTTCATGCCGCGGCCTATTATATTATATGTACATATGTACATATAATATGTACATATATAAATATTTCTCACTTTTCCGAGCACATATATTGAACGGCCGCTCGGTATTTAATAAATAAGTTAATTATATGCACTACTCACCAGAATAAGTTAGTATCACTAGGTCACTTATGTAAATGTTTTTTGAAAAATTTAACTTTGAAGTTTAAACGCAACAAACGCGTGTAATTCCGATGCAAATTGAACAGCAAATGCAAAGGAGAAGGGGAGAGGCAAGACGAAACCGAAAATTGACAACCGAAAATTCTGGCGCGTGCCAGGGTATAGTCGACCAAAGCAATGCCTTGTAATTAGAATCGCACAAGGCTTATAATCAAACATGAACATATTGGCTTTGCCTAAAGCAAATTATTAATACATTTCAATATACCATATGATTAGAAAAGAAAAATTTATTAAATATAATCTTAAATATATAAAAATATTTCAACATATTTTAAAAAGGGTATTCTGACGTCGATTCCATTCATTTGGTTTTCGGCACAGATTTTTTTTCTCTCCCTTCCCTCCATCTACATCTCTCTAATTGTTTCTCTGTCGCGTGCCGCTGCATCGAAAATATGACGTAGAAGCTTCGAGAATCATCGTCGAAAACCAAAAGCAGGTAGAAGTTTCGTTTCCCCTTTCGTTTCGGACTTGAGTAAACGAAGCCCATGCAATTTGTTTTTGTTTTTCGACAATGTCGCCAGGAAACGTCGGGGTAAGGAATTTTGGTACTGAAGGGAGCAAAACAACAACCAAAACCACATTCATTCAAACCAGCTCGTTTTTTTTTTCTTTTTGTTAGTGTTTACAAATTTTAAAAGTTTAAAACGTGGATTCATTTCCTTAAGCATAAAATGTCGCTTTTAGCCAAGGGAAAACCCTTGAGCTTAAATGCAGCCATTATAAAACGCCCAAAAATTACCGCAACACAAAAAGAGAGGAGATCAAAGGAAATCGAAGTGATTAAAGAAGTGGAAGAGAGAATGGAGATGCATCATGCAGTAACGGTAGAAAACTTAGCGGATTCATATGAGACAAGTGCACAGAAGGGCATTGACCTGGGGAATAGCACAACAAGCCAACCAAAAGAAGGTGAAAAACACAATGGCATTGCCAGCAATAAGGGAAAGCATTCTATGCAGGTATTTTAATCTCTTTTTTACCCCCAAATCCTAAAAAAACAGCTTTTCGTCTATATTAACAAAATTACCGAACATGGTGATAACTTCAACAGACAAAACAGGAAACCAATAAACGCATTAGAACTTAATGTAGTTCTTTTTAACCTTAAATTGAAAGATATTGTAAAAGTGAACAAACTTGGCTACGGGCGCTGCAAAACCGAGTACAGGTCAGCGAAAGCAGCTAATGACTTGGTAAATTTTAATTAAAACCAAGAAAGGAAAGCTAACTTCGGGCGGAGTTTATATACCGAACGAAGTTTATATACCCTTGCAGCTAAAACCGGATATATATCGCAACCATCTGATATAGTTGGCCGATCCTTATGACATTTGGTAGGTTGGATCAACTGACCAAAAATATAATCTGTACCAAGTTCCAGCTTTCTATCTTCAAAAACACGAAAGTTGGGTCATTTCCGATCGTTCAGTTATATGGCAGCTATAGGATATAGTCGACCGATCCTTATTAAATTTGGCATGTCGTAATATTTTGCCAAAAATAGCTCTTGTGAACTCTCTAACTCTAAAAACACCGAAGTTATACCATTTCCGATCAATCAGTTATACATAAGGCAGCTATAGGATATAGTCGACCAATCGTGGCCGTTCCGACTTATATACTGCGTGCAAAGAAAAGAAAGATGTGTGCAAAGTTTCAAGTCGATAGCTTTAAAACTGAGAGACTAGTTTGCGTAGAAACAGACAGATCGACAGACAGTAATCTGTACTAAGTTCCAGCTTTTTGGAACGAAGTTTCTTATGGCGCGCTATGAGTTTGGCAGAGGAGGGCTAGCCGAGAAAAACCGTAACGTAACGTTAAACGACTATCTGTCTCCTTTTTCTTTGTAGAGTGAGAGAACATAACCATTATTAACCAGAATATAACCATCCTATAGCTGTCATATAACTGAACGATCGGAAATGACCCAACTTTTGTGTTTTTGAAGATAGAAAGCTGGAACTTGGTACAGATTATATTCTTGGTCAGTTAATCCGACCTACCAAATTTCATAACGATCGGCCGACTATATCTTATAGCTGTCATATAACTGAACGATCGGAAATGGTTTTTGGTAGAAATACCAACTTTGGTATTTTTGAAGATAGAAGCTTGAGACTTTTTTTAGATTTTGTATTGTAATAAATTGGATTATATGTTCATATTCCCATAAGGATCGGCCAACTATATCCGATGTTTGCGATATATATCCGGTTTAAACTGCAAGGGCATATAAACTTCGGCTCCGCCCGAAGTTAGCTTTCCTTTCTTGTTTTATTTTCAAAAACACGAAAGTTCGGTCATTTTCGATCGTTCAGTTATAATAACTTGTGTATATATTATAATATGTACTTCATACTTATATATGTATAATGTAACCCAACTAATAATATGAAAGCAAAGGTATATGATAATAAATATATGAGTACCGGGTATCTTTTCTTTTTTTTTAATATTCATTTATTGCTATTACATCTAACACAAAACATGTTTAAAATCATTTAACTGACGTTGCAGGTTAAGCTCTAGACTTTAAATCCTTCAGAGATTGGTTTTATGTGTCCTTCACAGTGTAAGTATGTAGATAAATTCTATCATGTAAATGGATTTAGAAAATGTGTACAAAAAACCACTTTGCATCTAGTCAAATTTTGTAAAATAAGGCTATTTTTACTATATAATTGATGCTAAATTATTTTAACTTTAAACAATCAGAAATGTTAATCAGTCAAGGAAAATAGTACCAAAATATAAAAAAAAATATATATGTAAAATAAAATAAATTAAATATTCAAGCCTGTAAATTTATGACGGGCACCAAAAATTAACACATATTTTTATTTTTAAATACTCAATTGCTTTATACATATATGCTACGTTTCTGTGCTTAAAAAATATTTATGAAAAATACTTTTGTCGATGTAAGCTAGTCAATTTAAAATAAATTCAATTTTGAATGATGAAAAAAATAGGAAAGGATGGCCAAATCATTAGAAACGTTCTTTACGCAGGCAAGTAAGCAAAAATTGCAATATTAAATTAAAGGCAAACATAACTATGTATGTAAGTAGCAATGTATCTATCAATTGCCTTATATGTACTAAAAAAATTAATAAAATATAGTATTAAAATTATGTTTCTCATTTTACAAACTATTTTGTTTAGATGTTTTTATACTCTTGCAGGGTATGTAATTTTTGTCCAGAGAAAATTTAAAACACTGAATAAAAATTTTTAAAAAATTTGATCCTGTTTGTTTTATTGGGACTCAAGAACCTATGTATATTTTTAATCGGAACGACGTGAACAATATAATTAAAAATGTGTTAAGAATCGCAGTTTAAAAGTAACTGTGACTATGGGTAACGAAAAGTAACTATGGGTAGCAGAGAAAAACAATGAGAGCAGAGAATTCACTGAGCGAAGAAAACTCAGTTTTTTATTTCATTTTTCATTAATTCAAAAGTTGGAATGGGCACTAAAATATTTTATTTTATTTTAAAGAAAGCTTTTTTAGCAACAGTTCTTAGACAAGTGAAAAACTACGCTTCTCTATATATATTTTCTATGAAAAATGATTTTTCCAACCAAATACTTGAGAAAATTTTTAAGGTTTAGGCTGTCGAGTAAGGCAAAATGAGAGCAAATGATATAACTTCTAAAAAAAATGTGAGCTGTCAGTCTGCCGACAGAGCTGCGGCAGAGTTTCTGACCCTATTCACGAGTCGTACAGTATGAAAAATTTGAGTTTGCCCACCGCTGTTTTAAAGTGTAAATGGTGTCGGTGGGCAGGCTGAGAGTACGGGCAGACAAATTTCTAACCCAGTGGGATAGGGTTTTTGATACCACTAGTCTACTGGAAGACCAATTTTAAAAACTATGGTGGTCAAAAATCGATTCGATTAGGCGGGGAAAAGGTAAGTGACCAAATCACTTTTTGAAATTGGCCCTTAGCAGACCATAGCAGTCGAAGTCTTCGTCTTTTTAATTTTTGTGATAAATATTACCAATTGTGCGTTGAAAAAATTGTGGCCGGGAGAGGCGAGGGGACACGGACGGCGACCCGCCAAAGAAATGGATTAATTGGTTAGTTTGAGCGGAAGGTCCACCTCTGGAGAGTGCAACAGCCCAAGAAAAAAAGTTTACGAGGGCACAGGAGGAGAAGATCTTTAACAGGAAAGTCGCCGCAGAGTCAGGCTGGAGCCACAAATCGGCCGTAGACTAAAGGTGGCAGAAAGAGAAACCGCAGCAGGTCGAGCTAACAGGGTGCCAGAACGACAGATGTACCCAGGGAGTACAGAGAGACGAGTTCCACCAACCGGCCATCCAAAACAGACAAAGGAGGAGGGGCTCGCCGGAATAACAGGGCACCTCAGGACAAGGAATGATGCCCAGATAGCAGCCTGAGGGCCAGCATAGAATTCCTCAGCCGGATGGGCAGTGACTTGCTACAGGTGCGGCAGTATGGGCCATTGGAGATGTGGGTGCAGAAACTCAAGAATGGTGTTCTGCAAGGGGTAAGGACAGAGAAGCGTAACACTTAAATTAAATTTGCGCTTCTGTAATGGTGAAAAAATCTTGGCAGTGGAGGATGTTCGTGGGCAAAATCGATAAAAGATTGATACCCGATGCCACGAATTAATTTCGTTGGAGGAGCAGTTGCAGTTGGAAGTAATTGGAACAGCTTAGATAGGCAAGATTCTTCAGCAGCCTCGACTCAAAGGATGGGTATTGGCAGATCCCTCTGAAGGAAGAAAGCAGGAAGTACACCGCTTTCACTGTAACAGTGAAAATCCTATACTAATGGAAGATGATGCCGTTCGGGTTACCTCGGCAAAATTCCAGAGACCACTCGACCGTTCGCATATCAGAACGATGTCATCGTGGTCGCACACATCATGGGGGAAAACGTGGAGAACCATTGTGATGGCGAAGAAGAAAACGCTCCACCCGATGTGCGTGGACTTCCAACAGATTAACGCAAACTTAGAGAGGCAAAATAATTCAACAGCCTTAACTTTAACCGACTCGACGATTGTGATCGGACGCACCTGGGAGGAACACATGGAAAACCTAAAGGAGCCGTTTAAAGGGCTAAAGGCGGCGAAACTGAAGATAAAAGCGGAAAAGTGTCATTCTTCAGGCAGGGACTGCTGTACCTGGGGCACCGAACATTGAGCCAGGGGATCGCCATGGATTTGAGAAAAGTCACCGCAATTACGGAGATAAACCCCCAACCAATTAAAAGGAGTACGCCAGTTAATCGGGGTGGTATCATGGTATCGTAGTTTCGAAAAAAGAGAAAATTAGTAAATAAATATAAAATAAAAAAAAAAAAGGAAAGCTAACTTCGGGCGGAGCCGAAGTTGATATAACCTTGCAGTTAAAAGCGGATATATATCGCAAACATCGGATACAGTTGGCCGATCCTTATGAGAATATCATAATAAAACCAATTAACTAAAATAAAAAATCTAAAAAGAAGTCCCAAGCTCCCAGCATGCAAAGTTAGGAGTGCTCCGCATTAGGTGTCTGAAAAGAGCCCTGCTTCGAAGCGTTTTTGGAGTAAACACATATTTCAGAGCGATTTAGGAGCGTTTTCGGAGTAAACACATATTTTAGAGCAATTTCGGTGCGTTTTGGGAGATAATGGAAAGTAAACACAAAGTAAAGGGCTCGATTAGAATAAGGGACTGCAGATTCTTGCGACAAGAAAATGCTAGAAAATTTTCAGTTTGCTCATTACGAAACTGAAAGTCGGACGGTGTTTGGTCATCGAGAGTTTTCGATGCCGTAAATAAAAAATGAATTTAAATTGAACGTTATAAACTTTATTCGGGCCGCATATGAAATTAGGATTTATGTACAATATTTGAAATCCAATTTAGGATGCGAGCGCAGTAAAAGTACGAACGAGAGTGGCGCCAACCTTGCAGAATAGGCTGAGCGGAATGCTCGCTAACCATAAGCGCCGAAGTAGCAAAGCCGAGCGGCCGAAAGAGAGTCGGCTTGCGACCAGAAAAACATCAGTTACTTATTAATTGTTGTGTTTAAATTAGTTGCTTGCTGCTTGACCCGACATTCTCCCCCCAGTTGGGGCTTCTACTCCAACTTCATCCTTAAGGGGCAAAAGGCACAGCTTAGTCACTGCTCGCTTGGTAATTCCAGATGAGGTTTTTATCACCGCCACTCGAAAGATACCATCCCGACCAGGGATTAACTCCATTATTCTCGCAAGCGGCCATTTCATCGGAGGTAGATTCTCGTCCTTTACTAGCACCACATCGTTTGGGGCCAAGGCAGGACCGGAGGCGCGCCATTTGGAGCGCTGCTGGAGAAGACTTAGGTACTCCTCCTTCCATCGGGACCAGAAAGACTGCTGCAGGAAAGACACGCGCTGCCAGCTGTCCAACCGGTTGAAGTTCAGCTTTGTGACATCAGGCTCGATAAAGCTGACTGACGGACCACCAGTTAAAAAATGAGCCGGGGTCAGAACATCAAGGTCTGCAGGATTTTCTGAAAGAGACAATAAGGGTCGTGAATTTATAACAGCCCCAATATGGCACAGCAGCGTTCGCAGCTCCTCGAATCCCAGAACTGCAGATCCGACAGCTCGGTAAAAATGGTGCTTGGCGGTTTTAACAGCCGCTTCCCACAGACCACCGAAATGCGGAGATCGAGGAGGAATAAAATGCCATTCGATGGACTCCATAGAGCAAAACTCCAGCAGTGACCGTTGATGCTCTTCGCTTAGAAATAATCGGCGCAGCTCCTTTAGCTCGTTTTTGGCTCCAACAAAGTTGGTTGCGTTGTCAGACCAAATATGTTGAGGACTTCGGCGGGTGCATATAAAACGCTTCAAAGCCTGCAAAAAGACATTGTGGACAGATCCCTTACAAGCTCCAGATGGACGGCTTTGGTAGCAAAACAAATGAACATGCTAATGTAACATTTTACTGGAGCCTTATTACGCACCTCCGGCTTATAATAGAACGGTCCACAAAAATCCACACCAGTGACTCCGAAGACCTGGGAGCCGCTAACTCTTTCCTCCGGGAGATCAGCCATAATGTGCTGCAACAGCCGAGGCTTAGTCCGGAAGCATCGGATGCATTTGTGTAATGCCTTCGTCACGGTTTTTCTCCCCCCAATTGGCCAATATTGGGACCGAATAATTGCCAACAGTGCGCGAGGTCCCGTATGTAAATTTCGCTCATGGAAGTCAACAATTATAGCCCGCGTAACTGGATGACTTCTTGGAAGTATAATTGGATGCTGTTTATCAAAATCCAACGACGAATTTTTTAGCCGACCGTCTACGCGCAACAGTCCAAATTTGTCCAAGAAGGGAGAGGATGAGGCAAGGGCACTGGATACCGCTATGTCTTTTCCATTTTGAAGAGCCTTTATTTCCTCCCAAAAATGCACACGTTGCACTAGCCGCAATAACAGCTGTGTTCCAGATTTTATATCGCTAGCCGTAGTTGGTTGCGTTGTCAGACCAAATATATTGGTGACCCCGACGTGATATAGTTAATATAATTAACATTTTAAAAAAACTATTGACCCGCGAAAAAACATTTAAAAACATATATACATACGTTCCACTGCAAGTGCATTGGCCCGCGCATAACGGCTTCATACATACATATGTTCCACAACGCTACTTGCGGTTCTGAGCGCACAGTGGGACAGATCATATTCGCTGCGAGAAAATATAGTTCAACAATAAAATTATGGCGGAGTTTCTGGAGCAGCGATGCAGGACGTTGGAGGTTTTGGATGTGACCACTGGCCACAACTATGGAGCTCATCCCTGGCTGCGATGGAGTACTTCGAGCGGGACGGATTATGCACTGCCTTTCCCCTTACGGATGGAGTTGGAGGACAGGCCCCAACGGGAGGTGGGAATGTCGGGTCAAGCAGCAGCACGGCGTATAATGTTTATGTTTAAATAATGTTTAAATGTTTATGTAATGTTTAGTGTAATTATTAGTGTAATGTTTATTTATTAGGCTTAAGTTTGTACAAAGGCTTTGTTGATCGCAAGCCGACTATTTCTCGGCCGCTCGACTCAACAAGCTTTCCATAGAGAGTTTTAGCTCGCAGTGTCTAGGTCGGGCCGCCCTCTCCATTATTCGAGAGCTTTAGCTTCGCAGTGACCAGTCGGGCCGCCCTCTCTGTACTTTTACTTGAGTCCCTGCATGCACCATAGCCGGTCTAT